CCATCTTAGAAGAAAATATCTGCAACTGGAGTCACACTTTATCAGTTGAAACCATGCATTGGAAAGTTCATAAAAACAGAGTTGTTTGTTTTAAGTGACTTTTAGATAGATCTTAGAGAGAAACTTTTTAGAGAGTTTTTCAAACACTTTTGGGAGATAATGACTCTTCTTGTATGAATTTTTTCTATCCTCTACGAGGAGCTAAATCTCCTGTAAAGCAAAAATATAATTCTTTGAAACTTTTTTATATTGATATTGTTTTATTTATGAAAGTATATTGTATTGCTAATGTTTTATTTATGAAAGTATGTTTCTATTAAATGTTTGTTAATTAGCTTATGTTGCCTGTGGGATGAAATAATCACTTATTTTATTTCATTAGTGATAACTGGTTTCAAATTGTGGTTCATTTAATTTTTTTTTCCTGCTTTTAGATGTGACGAATAACTCTGAGATTCTAGCTAGACATAGAGTCGTAATATTAATGTAATTGATCCATTGATTATGGAAGCAAGTTTTCAAGTGTAAAAAATGATTTAAAATTACATTCAAAACTCTCGAAACTAATAACTGAACTTTTACATTAAAGGGACGAAGTGATAAAATATAATTTTAACACCTCGTTATCATGAAGTCAATTTTTTTAACACAAACTGATTTACAATGCGTCAGATTGCTAAAATAACAGTTTTTGTACATCAATTATGTATCCACAGAACGTTGTTTTATGCCAAATCCTTATATATACAACATTTATTATATTGCAAACTACCTAAATATATTTGCTGGAAAAATTGATTTTTTTTAGCATCAACAATTACTTCAAGAAACAAGTTCCTACTGCCGTTAGTCATGTTGATGAATCTTCTGATAGTCAAACCAGTCATCAAGATCCCAACCTCACCCCTAGCCAGTGTCAACAACTTATTTCCTTTCTAACTAACAAATTAAACACTGACAACCGGGTTTTCATTGTTTTCAGCGTTTTGTATGATTCTTATATGCCTACTTCAGATTCTCAGGTTATTCTCCCTAATTCCACCAAGGTGACTGGCAGGGCATTGACAAAAGTAGGTTTACATGGATTTACATGCTGAAAAATAATTCAGATTACATAAATATAATACCTCAATTATTTTCCTTTGTGGAGACTCAGTTTCATTCTAAAATTAAAACTTTTTGGTCCGACAATGCTAATGAACTTTTGTTCAAAGATTTTTATTTATTTTTTCCTGGAAAAGGGTCTTTTACATCAGTTTTCATGTGTAGAAAGACGTGAGCAAAATAGTGTGATTGAACGCAAACATTTACACATTTCAATCAAATATTACTGTTATTTTTTCGGAGGAATATGGCCTAGACTTTCAGGAGACCTTTACCCCTGTAGCAAAAGTTACCACGTTGATTCTTTTGTCTTTAGCTGTTGCTAGTCAATGGCATTTAGCTCAACTGGACATCAACAATGCTTTCCTAAATGGTGATCTCCAAGAAGATATTTACATGCAGCTATCCTAACATAATTGTTCTTCAACCTCTACTGCCCCCTTTCGTATCTGGTATTCCAAGTTTAGCAGCACTCTTCTCTTATCTGGTTTTTAGCTGTCCAAGCATGACTACACCTTATTCACAAAAGGGAGTAATTCAACAGTCATTGCTATTTTAGTTTACATTGATGATATCATTATTGCTAGTCCTAATATTGCTTCCGTTAACAATGTTAAACTTCTATTTCAGAATCATTTCAACTTAAAAGACTTAGGTGGTTTGAAATTCTTTCTTCGCTTGGAATTTTCCAAATCTCAAGCTGGCATTTTCATGTGTCAAAGACATTATATCTTGTATCTTTTGCAGGATTGTGGCATGCTTGCCTGCAAACCTTCGACCATTCCAATGGATCCTATATCTGACAATTTCCAGACCTGACATCTGCTTCACAATCCACAAACTAAGTCAATTTGTTTGTCTCTAATCCACATTCTGTCCACCTTAATGCTGCATATACCCTCCTTTGTTATCTCAAACATGCTGCAGGTCAGGGTATTCTTTTTAAACCCAAATCTGATCACAAACTCCATGCTTTTGTACCAACACGCGCAAAGTATATATAATAATAATCATACTCATTAACTTCAACGAGTTTTCTATGTACCGATTAACGATTCATTTAATTAAATAATATATAAATATCTTAATATTCTCCGTTTTATATGTGTTTCATTTTCACTGTTGAACTCGCAAATCCGGTGATGGATCCTATGTGTGAGCAACCAGAAAATATACGGTTAAGAGTAGATAAATGTATTAAAATAATAAGATTGAACAATTAGTGTTAAAATAAACTAACACTATAAATAGAGTTTTAAAACACTCAGCTCATTGTATCAGTATGTTTTATTTCTCTAAAAACTCTATTCTCTACCTTTTCTTCTCCTTCTCTCTAAAATTTCTCACAGTGGTTTGTCTGATCGGCGATGAGGAGCTTCCTAGGCGATCCTGTGATCAAAGGCTTCCTTTTCTACCGATCAATTTCGTGGTTAGAGTGGGTAAGTTTCGTTTATCAAATTCTTATGAATTTCTGTATTTCTGGTACATGCAAACACTGTTCGGTTTGCATGTGTTCATCAGCTCTTCTTTTGGGTTCTGATTCTGTTTCTGGCTCGGTGGTTGATTTCCTTTCACCGATTCAAAGTTTGTAGGCTGTCCTAGGATCACTTGCGGTTTAGCAAAACTGTGAAGAAGTTTAAATCTGTCAAGTTGCTTTGAGGTAAGGGAAACTAGTTAATTTAATTGATTTGGTTATGATATATGAGAATGCTGGTTGTTGTGGCTGTATGTATGTGAAAATTGAATGTTTGTATGTTCGGTATTGTTGTGTGGGCTGTTAACTGCTGTGGCCATGTTTGATTTCGGCTCTGCAGAATTATGGTTACTGTCGAGTGAATTGTGAGAAAGTGGAGTAGTGAAAAGAGGGAATTTGTATCAAGAGTGGTTTCGGTATGTAAGGATAATCTAGGTAAGTTGTTTAAGGCCTATTAGAACCCTTAAGTCCTTATAAAATGTGTAAAAAGTAGGAAAACAGATTTTGAGTCATTGAGTTGTTGATTATGCAGAATTTGGAGTGAAATTTGGTAGGGGACTCTTTGGAATGATGTTAGAAAGATTTAGGTACTCTTGGATAGCTGTAAATGTGTATATGATTCGTGTCTGAGGAATTAGAAGTTGGGATAAATGTTTAGTTTTGGTAAAGTCTAGCTTGTTCATCCTTCTGTAGAATTATGCAGAGCTGAGCACGTGCTGTTGACCGCTCAGTCATGCGTTATTGGCCGCTCAGCCATGTTCAAGTACTCGATCTTTAGCTGGGTGCGGTCTCTAGTCTTTCCAGTTCATGATCGTTCGGTCTTAGGTGGTCGGCCTCTTGGTAGTGCTAGGTTTCGTAATACGTTCGGTCTGTTATAGGTCTTAACTATTAATGATCGTTTGGTCATGTACTGTCTTGATAGTGCTTGGTCATTTACCAGCACTCGGTTTCAAAAGCGCTTGGTCTTGTACTAGTAGTTATGCTAGTGTGTGCGCTTGGTCTTGTGCTAGTGATCGTTCTCGGTAGTGATCGGTCTTCTACTAGTGATCGTTCTTGATAGCGCTCGATCCCGTACTAGCGCTCGTTCTTGGTAGTGCTCGGTCTTGTACGGTACTCGATTTGTATTGGTGTTCGATCTTAGCTTGTATTCGGCTCATGTTTGAGCCTCACTCTTTAAATGACCGTTTGGTCATATTTACATGTTAGGGGTGTTTTCCGTTCGATTGTGTTAAAGGGTATTGGTGGTTTTACTGTTCGGTTTGACCTTACTATAAAGTATTTGGTCTCTCTTAGTGGTCGGTCCTTAATAGTGTTCGACCACTTCTACAGTCTTATCTTTTATGGACCGTTCGATCTTGTCCATTGGGAAGTGAGAAACCGTTCGGTCTCCACCATTTACAGGGCGTCCGGTCTTGTTCATAAGATTTTTTTATCTTTCCGTTCTGTCATACTCAGAGTTTGTGTTGTTGATGTTCGGTTTGCTGCTATGAATGAATATTTGGTCTTTAAATGCTATTGTGTGTGATTTTGATGGGTTGAGATAGTTGTATTGATCTACTAAGTATGGAAAATTGTATTGATATTTCAAACAAGGCATATGTTTCAAGTAATGTGGAAGAGAATTCCAAGGAGGAATGTCTTAGTGAAAAGTGTATTGAAGTGGTAAATGTCTCAAGTGAAAAGTGTATCAAAGTGGTGTTATAGTATGAATATGGATAGTGAAATTCACGGAGTTCATCCTGATATTATGATGATTATCAATTCTTAAGTAGAGATGGGTAAGGCATTGTCTGAGAATGGTAGGAGGTCCTAGCCCATAGGTTCTTGGGTGAGTTATAACGGACTAACCCCGGATGACAGCTGATGGTTTTCCAGTTACTACACCACCCTAGTGCATGAACGACCTCAAGCTACATATTCATACCATCCGGATGGTTAAGTCAGGTGTACGGTTTATGAACGAAGTATAGTGTTCATTTGTATATGCATATATGTATTTGTTTTGGTATGTTGGAGTTTTCGATTATGCATTGGCTGTACTTGTAAGAAATGTATGTATGTTTGGTTAATTAAATTATATTAGCTTACTCTTATTTTCTTGTCTTGTCATGTTCGTTTAGTCGTCTAGTCCTTGAAATGATCATTCAGTGGGTGTGAGCAGAGTGCGAAGAGGTTTCTCAAGAGCAGGTGCTGAGCGAGGAGTTTTCAATCTCTTAGAATAAAACTGCTCAGTTGATACATCTCTTGTACGATCGATCTGTTGGTTCTTATGATTTGTATTCAGAGTAGGATTTTAGTAAATTTTAAAATTATGATTATTTTATAATAACGGAAGTTAATTTTATTTTCTGTTCCATTTGTAAATATAAAAATTCTTAAATATAATTTACCGCTATATTTTTTTTTTATGTTACACGTATACAAACACTCCTCCAACGAGGGAAGAGGTATTATCAACATTCGTAGCATCATTTCCTTTTTGTTTTTAAATTATGATTTATTTGTCGGTTCAATGGCATGAACCTTATTATAGATCAGGATATTGGCGTTCAATCCAAAGGCAGATATAGAGAACCTTGAAGAGTTGCTACAGGAAGATAATTTTCTTCTTGAATATGGAGTTAGGTAAATGATTCATGAATTCGATTCTTCTAGAGTTCGTGAATTTTGAATCGGTAGTTTTGTTGTTCCGATCTGATTCGTTAATTTGTTGATTTTGAATCGTGGAAAGGAGAACAAAGACGGTTTCCGGTGTTGATTTTGAAGTTGAAGGAAAGCGATATACAGAGAGAAAGGCCTGCATCTGTTTTTCTTCACAGTTCGTACAGTGACAAAGAAGCGGTGCGTCCATTGCTTGGTACTACTGCGTCTTCTCTGCTCCACTCAATCGGTTATTTTTCACTTGCTTTTGTTCGTACTATTCTGCTGTGTGATAATTTGATTTCATTGGATTATAGTAACTGATTTTCTTAGGCGCATGCGTGGCGATGTTAGGTAGCAATTTGGGTTGATTTTCGTTACCATGGAGAAGTGCAATCAACACAACCATCTATCTCCATGAAGTATTTGCTTTGCTATGCTATTTATTGAGCTTGTTACCAGCACAGTGTTATTTATGAAAACAAAATGTTTAAATAAGAGAAAAATTGTCCATAATTTTCTCAAAAAAATTAATTATCAACCACGTCAGATAAATAAAATATAAAAAATTGAATTACACGTCAATTCCTCATCTATTTTATTTAAAATCACGTAATTTATTGGGAGAAGGAGTGAAGGAGAGGAGAAACTGGGAACGAGAGGAACCAATTAAAGTTATAGGAAGGAAAGAGAGAGGAACCAATTAAAAAATTATGGAGATATAATATACAGTTGATGTGTATTTTAGTAATAAAAAATTGTGAACCAAGATTTTCTGGAACTTATTATTACAAGATAACTTGTTGTGCCTGATTTTTCAACAATTTTTACTCATAAATATTATTGCAGTTCCTTTTATTATGCGCGCAACTTCTTTTGAAAAAAAGAAGTAATCACTTGTTTCAGTTTTTCAGAATAAACATGAAAAACGTAAACACACGAATCGCTGTTTTGAACAGTTTCTAACATAATCAACTGTTTTATAATGATTTTGTCAACAAACATATATGTAGTAACTTATGATTTATTTAAATCTCTAAAAAATAATTACTAAACTATTTTATATTAGGATTACTTCTCTTTTTATCTATAATTGGCCTAGGGGGGGATGATGTCTAGTATAATTAAATGGTAAGCAATTTTCATAAAAAAAAGGTAAATAAGTTTCAAGAAAGTGAAAACTAAATGTAAGCATCGCCTTTATTATATTTGGTGAGCTTGTCATTTTATATAATAGTTTGATTATTTCTTTATAATAATAATAATGTAATAAATAGAAACATATAGAAGGAGAAATTAACCGAGTGTTATATATTATATGATTTTATATTTCAAAGAATAATTTCACCCTTCAAAATTTCCCTTCTGAAATATATATATTGCAGAAATTGAAATTATTTAAGTTTTTTATTTTTGCTCATAATAGTTCGACCATTTTTAAATCTTTTATACTGAGTAACAACTCGAATTCTAAATTTTAATTCTCACTTATATATATATATATATATATATATATATATAGTTACGCTCCAAATGACTTTTTTGAACTGTAACAATTGCAGTTTAAGCATTTGAGTAGTTTTGTTTAGAAAATATCATTCCTTGATCAGGCAGACCTTTGGGATTATCCCTTGGAGATAGGCTGAGAGATCTATGATGGCATGTTTGATGTCACTCATCAATTTAAATTCTTTGAGAGGAATGCTTGCATGGTTTACTGTTCTTTTTGAGGGCAAGATAATGTCAAATGAGTTTTATTATTATATATGTTTTACCTTTGTTTGAGTAAGACCTAGAACGGAATGTACATAATTAACGTACTCAATAGGGGTACTATTCATTCAAACATGCCAACAGTGGATAACTGAAGGTCATGATTAAAAATGGTTACGTATGCAAAATTATCACTGTATACAATTTCTATCTAACTTTGTTCTTGTTTTATGATATTGTTTGCAGTTAATACTACATATTAATTTAAAATATATTTTATTAGGTGCGGGACAGAATTGCTCCTGGTTTACCTTCACAATTTGATTCACCTTATTCAATTCCAACCTTCGTACCCTGTCCTTTGCTTATTCTCAATGGTAAGATTCTATTGTATATGCTATACATTGATCATTTTCAAACCGAATCTGGCTCTATACCTGAACAATATGTAGACCTCTGATCCATCCACATTAGTCAATTTAGTTACCAGTTTTAGGTTTTGTGAATTTTTAATGCTAAAATTGATCATTTGCTTGGATTTTGGGAACTATAGGTGCTAAAGATCCCCTGGAAATTCCAAGAGCAAAGGCAAACCTGGTATACAGAAAGTTTCACTGTTTAGATCATTTCAAGGTATGAACCTGTATTGTTTGGTCACTTTGGTGAGAAATTTAAACTTGCCATTGTGATCATCCGCTACCTCTTTAATAAGAATGGATTTAACAGTTGGTTGAAACCTGCAATCTTCCGACGATTTAAAAGAACAAAAACGATAGAGGCAATTTCAATAATAATAAAAATGACATGGAGCACTTGATAGTGGAGATTTTAGATCGGAGAGGATCCAAATTTAAAATCCATTGTAAGAAGATCCATATATTCCGAGTGTATCCTCTTAAGTTGGATGTGATTGTGAGAACTCCAATGGTGTTTGGTTATGGTATTCGTGGAAATAAGTTTTGAAGGGAAAGACTTGTTTTGACCTGCAGAAGCTGGAATGAGATACTAAATAGCGAGATTTAAAATGAAACAATCAGGTGCCTGTAGAATTAGAAACCACGTTGCTCTCGCTCAAATTTCTTGTACCACTTGTAAGGTGTAACATGATAAATTTATCTACACCAATAAAAAAATAATATATAATCTATAATTTATACATAATTTAAGTGTACATAATATATATATTTGTTATTTTTTTCTTTTGCGGTGATGTTTATATATGAATTATTGTTTCTCTTTGATGTTTATATATTAGTGAAAAATGGAATCGAGATGTTGAGACTTGGGAAAAGACACATGTGTTGTGTTGATCGTAATCTGAGTTGCGTAAAGTTATCATGTGAGGTAAGTTACTACTAATATATTTCGAATGAGCATTTTCCACAAAATGATGAACACTTGCTGGAAAACTTTATTATTGTGCATGAATCACAAGGTGGATTGATGAAGAGGTTCTCATACTCAAAGCAACAGGGCAGGCAAGTTTGTGTTATATTTCTAATGTTATAAAAGGTAAGTGATGGACCTGTAATTTCTTAGAAGTTTTGGAAACTCTTAATTGAGTCGCATATGCGCTTAAGTTTTGGCATAATAGTAATTGAGTTACATGTGCTATGTTTTGTTAAGTACATAAGAGGATTGCTTATTGGAAATAGATGGTTTTGAGTGATCATATAATCAGTCAAATTATTTCATTTTTTTACTTTAAACAACACTAATCCACAAATATAAAACCGTTATCCAAACATTAATATTGTTAAAAACAATAAACATTAAAATTGAAAGACTAAACATTAACTAGTTAAAAACACTCTTCACAACTTAAAATATTAACATTGTTTTTCAAAAGAGCAATAGTTTAATAATACAATTATGACAACAATTTTTAATTAAAAAAATAAGATATGAATATATCTATTATTAGCTAGTAAAGAAGAACTGAAAATAAAATAAATAGTTTTGTCAACATTTGACATTATAATATCTAGTACATGTAAAAAAGGGATGTCGAGAGAAGTTTTATCAAATATCAAGGTGAAACATTCGAATCTTCTAGTGAAAAAAATGAAAATCCTAAATTAAAGTATTCAACTTTAACGTTTTAATAGTAAAATTTCTATTTTTTTTAACTTAAAAATCAATATATATTATTATATTACTAATAGGTTTGCTAAATGAGTTTTTTTGTCAAACTATCATTTTCTTATGGTTTTGAGTGGGTTAGTCCTTGACTTACGCTAGGTTAAGATATTTCATATCCTATTTAAATAAATTTCTTTAAGCATGAGCTAAGAAAAATAAAATAAATAAATATTTTTAAAAATAAAATTAACTCATATATGAATGAATTTATCGTTTTTATTAGCTTCTCTAAAAGTTTACTTTTAATGTATGTGTAAGATACTTTCTACTTATAAAGAAAAAATTTATTTTTCTATCTTTATAAAAAAAAATTAAAAAAAAATCATTCAAAGAAACCTTAATTAAAATAAACTTCTTAACATATAATTAATCATGATAATTATTATTAAACATTCAAAAATAAAATATTAATTACTATAGCAATACGGTTGGTCAATAAATTAGTAAAATACGTCACAGTTGACTAAGTGCACTTGGAAGTGCTTAACACACTCAAACAAATTGACTAAATGCGTACTAAATAAATTGTTTATGTTTAGTATATTAAATATAATATTTGCTTATTTTATCTTTTTACATATTTAATAAGAAAAAATTTATGCTTTTTCTATTAGTTTTTTTACAATTATAGAAAAAGAGAAATTAATTATATTTATTTTATGATATATTTAGTATTTTAGGACTTTTTTGTGGTAGGATTTAGGAAAAGAAAAAGTTAGGAAAAAGAAAACATGGAAGAAGAAAATGTAGCTCAGCCACAAAATTATTCTTTGTTCAACGACAATGACTTCATGTTCAATAAGCCTTTTCCTTAAGCAGCCAAAACATGGATGAGAGAGCAATGCATTTTGATTACCAAGTCTCATCCAACAAGAGTTAAGTTGTGTCCAATGAGCTTAAAGACAAATAATGTTTCGGTAGATATTTTTGAAACCAAGACACAAATCTTTCTGACGCTTGAATCATGATCTCCACCTGCTCCTTCCGTTTAGACCGCTCGGTTGACTTTCGTCTAGATCGTTCGGTCACGTCAGTCTTGGCTGATCGGTTGCCTTCGCGCTCTAGGTAGAAGGTACCTGTAAAAGATACTCCAACGCTCAAGTTAGGCGCGAATGAACCTCGACTCTTGCTTGAATATTTAGTGAATGTTGGGTGTTATGAAGTGCGAGCATGAGTAGATTGTGAATGGAACGTACATGGCTTTTGGCCCTGTCATTGTATTTATAAGTGCTTCATAGACGGAATAATAACAAACTTACCTGAAGATTCAGTTGGTTATTGATAAACAACTTATCAATATCTTTAATTAGATATTCTTGATTATTTTATTATCTGCTGGACTATTGGCCCAATAACTTAAACGTTGGCTCAATTGCGACCCAATCTTTGACCTGATTGACTGTAGCGGATGAACTGAACGGTCCTGAGTGGATGGACCGAACGGTGTCAAATGTTAACCGTTCGGTCTCCACTAGATACGATACAAATAGCATGAAAATTGTTTATATATCTTGTCCAACAAACACAAATTCTTATTACTCTATTTAATGCTCTCCCAACAATGGCTCAAAATCTTAATATAAAGCACAGAGAAAAGAGCGTTGGAACATCGATACATTGAAGACTATTTTCATGACTTCTTCCTTCGTTCCTTCATCGTCTTTTTGCTTAGATTTCATATTATCTAACACCATGACTAGCTAAAGGTGGTTGTGCGAAGGAGGCTCTGGGAATGCCTTTGTGCAAATAAGGGAACAAGGCTATGCGAATGAGGGAACGAGGAGTCAAAGGTAGTTATGTGAATGAGGCTATGCTAATGGTTGTATGCAAATAAGGCAAACAACCTCTACGAATGAAGGAACGACCCCTGCCTTTACAAAGAACGAGGCGCTAAAAGTAGCTATGTGATGAAGGATCTGTGAATGGCTCTGAGCGAATGATGGAGATGTCCTCTGTGAATGAAGGAATGAGGCGGAATGAGGCTTTGGCACTACAAACAGGGAAATGTCAATATGAAGAATAAAACAATGCTCTGGAGAACAAGGTTGTGAAAAGAGAAAGGGAAGGAAAATATGCAAGAAGAGGGAAAATTGATTTTCCAAATCCCTAATCAATTTCACTCAAGTGTTTATCGACGGATCTTAACCGTCGATAATGAGTCATAGACTTTATCGATAACTCGCCGACAAATATTTACATATACATACATTTATCGACTAATCTATTTGTTAGTAACTAAACAATCATAATCTATCGATAAATATACATTATTGATAAATATAAATTCATATATAATTAGCCATTGATAATATCATTAATTCTTATAGTGCATTATAAAATTTAAAATTATAAAATAATTAACTTAAAAAAATTAAATCGACGGACATATTTTGTTTTAGTACAACACATCTTATTACTTTTAAATTTGATCTACTTTATTTTTTAGTTTATATAATTAAATATAATATTAAATATATAAAATAATCATGAAAATAGTTATTCTTTTCTGTACTATCTTAATTTATAATATTACTTGTTATCTTAATTATATTAGTTAATATTTTTATATTTTCATGTTAAACTTACTATAATAAAAAAATTATTTAAAAATGTCAAGATATAAAAAAATTTATACTTTTGTAGGAAAGAAATCTAGATAAATTACTATTTTTTAGATTTAAAATATATTTGAACTTTTAAACATTATATTTTGCGATGATACTTTTATCTTAAATAAAATATATTTGAACTTTTAAACATTATATGAATGAGTTTAAAAAATTGAATTTTACTTGTGAATTCAAATTTATTTATCCGAAAGTCTACTTTATTATTTAATCCAAAAAAGTTGTTGGAAGGGAAAAAAAACTAATAGACTATTGGGACAAGAGAGACACAATTCTGATAATTTTGACCCGTCACCCTCGACAAAAAAATGTGTGGATATATATTAAGCCATAGACTAATAATAATAATAATCATAATCTTGAGCCTTTGATTAACCTAATATTTTTCCTTTCATCCATATTATTTGGGTCAGCTGACACATGCTCATCATCAATTTCAAAATTCAATCATTACAACCCAACTGTCAAAGTCTCGTAATTATAAGAACCGTCTCCCAAACTCACTCTCAACCTAAATCCCAAACAAAAATGGCGGAAAAAGAAGCCATTGAAGAAGCTCATAGCAAGCTTCGATTCAAGCTCCTTCGAGAAATTCGTTGGAGTAATAGACGAGAATGTGAATGTATAAGAATCGACTTCGCTAGTTAACTTTCACAATCTCTCAACGATTCGTTTAATTGAATCTCATTCTTATTTATGATGCTTGATCAGTTCCTCCCAAGGTTCGTCATTACAGGAAAGTGGTGTCTCCTTATTATGAAAACTCTCCTCCGACGAAGGAAGAGGTACTGTGATTATTGACATTTGCAACGACTTTTGCTTGTTTTTTTGTTTATTTCTTAATTTTCAATGTCTTGGTGGTTGAATCGGCTGAAAATTATAGATGGAGATAATGGAATCGTGTCCGAAGGTGGACAGAGAGAACCTTGAAGAGTTGCTTCAGGAGGAGAACTTCTACTTGGTTATGAACTGGAACCGAGGTAGTGAATCTGGTGATGAGGTAGGTCACTAATCAATTGCTTAGGAGTTGAATTTTGAATCGGTATTTTTGTTAATGATTTGATTTTGTGGTTCAGGAGGAATTCGCCGACGCTCCTGATTTTGTGGTTGGTCAGTAATTAATTCTTTTTCTTGGGAGTTCTTATTCTGATTTGATGTTTTGGTTCATTGATTTTGGATCTCAGGAAATTAGATCCAGAAGAAGGATACCATGGGTGCCGGTGTTAATTTATAAACCAAAGGAAAGCGATAACCATAAGAAAAGGCCAGCGGTTGTTTTTCTTCACGATATGAATAAAAACAAAGAGTTCTTCCGTCCATTGCTTAAGGTTGTTGCTGTTTCCTACACCTTTTTGTATATATATACATTACTATTTTTTCTTAAATTTAAACAACTCTTTATAATAAAAGAAATATTCACATATAAAATATATACATTATCTATAATAAAACTATTTAATTTCGTAATTACTTTTTATGAAATTTATTATATAATTTAATATTTTTTATTATTTCAATAATTATTATAATAATAATAATTTTTTTTTATAGTATGTTGTTTTTCTGGTTTTAGGCGTATGCTTCGCGGGGATATATAACCGTTGCGGTGGATGCATGTTACCATGGAGAACGTGCCACGTACACACACGCCTATAGAGATGTACGTGCTTCTCAAGAAAAAACGTATGAGTTGTGTCTATTTTTTGAAACAATAATAATAAATAAAATAAATAAAGATTAACTATTTTAATATTTATTAAAATAAAAAGGTATTATTCTAACTTATATTAAAATTATCAAAAACTTGTTAACAAAAAATTTGACTTGAAGAATAATGGTTAGACTTTAGGAGAACTGATTTATCTATAAAAAGATATTATTTTTATGTTTGCTGTGTTGTTCATATATAGAAAGAAATGGACTCTCTTTTGCTTACATATTAAGATTGGAAAGTTAAAAAGAAGTTATATATATAAGTAAAGAAGAATAATGCAAAATGAATATAAAAAATTTAAATGTGTCAAATAATATTTTTCAATTTAAAACTAACCATGTTTCCTTTTATTTGTTTTGGCGGCAACTCTACCATAAAAAAATAAAATACTCAGGCACTTACTTATGCGTGGAGTTCTGTTGACACGTCGCCATTCATATATGAACCGGTAATTTCTTATTGACTTTAATGATTATGCACTGTTAGCATGACATTATTAAAATTATTGTTTTGTATTGGTTAGTTTGAGATTAGATAATAATTGTTATATTACACTTATTAGTTTGTGATTAGATCACTGAACCAAACTGCTTTATATTATAAATATAACCCATCTCTTTGTTATTTATCAATTAACATTACCATTTTGGATGTGATAAGTTAAAACCTTCAATATTAGATTAATTAAAAATTATTTGGTTGTCAATGTGATACCATCATTCTGTGACGGGTTATTGCCTGTTCTCGAGTGGGATTTGGTCCAAAAAGTGTTTTAAGATTATGATTTGTTGGGTTAAAAAATAATGGTGTATTATTTCATGTTGTAGCAGGTTTGCGACTTGATGAGATTGGCAGATTATCTAACAGAAAGAGAGGATATAGATCCTTCTAGAATAGGAATCACCGGAATATCACTTGGAGGTTGGTTGAGAGATGTTGAAAGGAACTTGTTTGATATGGTTCATAATTTGAATATATAATTATTGGATGATGCAGGAATTCATGCATGGTTTGCAGCAGTTGCTGATACTCGCTATTCTGTGGTTGTTCCTCTGATTGCTGTTCGGGTGACACTGCTGAATGATTGAATGGAGTTTTTGTTTAGAGAATTGTGTTTCTGAAACAACGACCCGAAAACTTATGTCCTATATATTGCAGGGATTTCAATGGGCCATAGACAACGATAAATGGAAGGGTCAAGTTGATAGTATGGAGATTTTGTTTGAAGGTATGGAGCACATGTTTTATGATTTCATATGAACATCTAATAAATTCTTCAAATTTTTTAAGGAAGTTTAAAAGAACTCGTCATAAACATCGAATAAAATTATATGGTGAAGTGAGAAGAATGTTGTTGGATGCAGTGGGTCGTCATAATTTGTGTAAAGATCGTATGGACAAAGAAGTAGTGGAGAAGGTCAGCCGAGTTTGTTTGCAATCAATTCCAATTTCTTTATGCTTTGATTTATTGGTATAACAAAACATGATTTATTCGAATTACTTTAAACTTGTGGAAAATGGATACTAGAAACTGATGACATGATTTAATATTTCTGATAAGGTATTTGATCATGTTTCTCCTTGTTTAACTTCGGAATTTGATGCGCCCTATTCAATTCCAGCTATAGCACCACGTCCATTGCTTATTATCAATGGTAAGACATTTTTCATTTTCATATATAAAGCAGGCATCCATCCCTATTTAATTATTTTTTGAATATTTGTAACTGAAACATTTGGTTGGGTTTTGGGAAATGTAGGTGCGGAAGATCCACAGTGTCCCGTTGCAGGCTTGGAAGTTACAAGGTCAAAGGCTATTCAGGCATACCAAGCTTTTCAGTGTGTAGATAATTTTAAGGTATTTGTTGGTCACTTTGGTCAGAAAAATATTCATTATAACAGTGACTTCCTTCATCAGAATGATTGGTAGCTTTTACATGCAGTTTATTGCAGAAGCTGGAGTTGGACACCAATTAACCAGACTGCAAGTGAAGGAGTCAGCTGATTGGTTTGATAGGTTTTTAAAGCCTTAGTTGACGTGTTCGCATGTATAAACCAGCTTGCTTACTCCATTGTCTTTGTTGTGATTGTATGTCATTACATATCTTTTTAATTTTATATTTTGTGATGATACTTTTTATCTTAAATAAAATCATGAATCAATTAAGCTTTTAACTTATAAATTCAAATATGTTTCCTAATGTTAATTAAAATTGTTTTATCTTAATCGTCCTTTTTCATTTCATGTTTTTCTTAACATATATTCAAACAACGAAGTTATTTCCCTCCCTTCTTTATATGACTATATAGACTATACTCATGAAATTCACAAAAAGGTAAGGCAATGAAGAAAGTTGTTTCTATTGAAAGAATATTTCAAAAGCCCCTCCGCATACCAATTAAACGAAAATTTTAATAATAACTACAATAGAATGTGTTATATTCATTATTTGATTTTAAAATATACACTAAGAGGTATCTACTAGTTACTGGTTGGGTATAAGAATGATAAATAAATCCCATTCGCAAAGTATTGTAAAACTCTGTTTGATGAAAACTCGCTATATTAATTGAATATTGATATAAATATAAATAATATTTAATTTTTAAAATTGAATATAATAACGATGATAAGTATATATATATATATATATATATATATATATATATATTTCATTTCATACTTATTTCTCGTTTTTCTTTAAATTATTAAAATAATTTAATTATTACGTAATAGAATAAATTATATTAATTTTTTCTTTGATTCATAGTTTAATAAATTATTTTTAAGACATATTTAAATGGTTTTATATTTTTTATAATTATTTGATATTTATTTAATGACCATAGGATATTTGATATCGAGATAGTTATAATTTGTTTCTTAATATTAGCAGATAATATTTTTTTTTGCTATAAGTTTTTTAAAAAGTTATTTAATTAATATTTTGAACAGTAAAAAGTCCTGATGTTAAGGTAGTTTGAATAAGTTGAAGAATAATATTAAAGTAGCATTTTTAACTTATGTAATGTAGATAATAAATATTCATTTTATGTGATTAAATTAAATAAATGCCTTTTTTTCTGCGGAAGACATTATTTTGAAATGTTTTGTTTCTTTTAAATTATATTTTGTATCTGAATATACTTAAAATTTATAAATTAAATAAATATATTTTAATTTATCAATTTTTTTTCATATTTATAATAAATTATTTAAATGGTGATATCATGTTTTTTAACTTTTAACGTTTTTTTTGGTAAACAGATTTGTTAATAACTTATTCTATAGCAATACGAAAATTCAATTTAGAGATAAAAAGGATGAAGTGAAATAGACAAGTGAGGTGACTAAGAAGATCCAATATAAATAAACATAAATATATGCTAATTAGAGAGAGTTGAAAGAAGTTTTTTAATATTAGAAAAATATGTAGTGAAAATCAATTCTAAAAGACAATAAAATATTAAAAATGTATAATTGGGACAGTGATAAAAACGAAAAACTCACTTTATAAATTGTGCATTATAACTTATAATGGAAGAAAAAAATTGAACTGTGAGAGTGCACCAAAATTAATTATCTTCTGCACTTTGAAGTAGTTGGAATATTCATCCTACACCTAATTGGTTAACAAAATGCATCTCTCTTTCAATAATCAGTATACAGATATACCAAATGTTACTAGAAATCACATGACTCATAATCTTAAAATATTCAACAGAATTCTTATTTTTGGGTGCACCTGCTTCAGCTCAGAATTTTTTTCCATTAAACCTATGCATGATTTAAACTTCATTTTGATTTTAATCTAATAGGGTAAAATTTAATATCTACGAGATAAAAAATAAATAAAAACATTTCTATTCATTTAAGCAGAAACACGTGCATACAAAAAATGATCACTATCACTAACACTAACAAAAATAAAGTGAAACATTGTGTGGTCAGTAAATTAAAAAATCAACATGCAAACTGGAGAGTAACAACAGTAGAGGCATCGAGTATCAATTGTGTATTGAGCAATCAACTGATTAAGGATCCAAATTCACATTTCAGTACCAGCCCAGCACCGAAATTAACCACTAGTCAATCAATGCCAATAATGACCTAGAACACAATGAACACATAAATAAACGTCAGAAAATCAGCATAAAACAAAACCTCTACAAACTTACAACCCAGACTAGGTTTTCTACAACTGAATATATGATGGATCATCGTGTTGACAGGAATACAAACAACTACAAAATCTTTTAGCCAATGGAATCCCCCAGGCATTTTCGTCTGTTATACACAGATCTGATTACCTTTCAAAAAACTTTTTGGGGTCGTTATGGAGCCGATATCCTCCAGTTCCTTATATATTCAATCTAGGATTCCAAAATTTCTTCACTGCCTATTTTGCATAGTTTGTCTGAAGGATGCAACATAAAGTCTCAGGGTAAACCAAATTTTGACAAGGCTGATTGGAATAATGTTGAGAATGCCTGGGATGAACTTTGGTCATCAGCTTTTACTTTAATCTGTGACTTGGCTGATGATGTGTTGATTATACACTCTACAAGATAGATTGACGCTGCTTCTGCTTTCTGAGCAAAGAAAAAGAACTTAAAGTTGGGAGACTGACCGCCGGATGCAATGCAGTGTATTGAATGGCTTTGCATGTGCCGCAGGAGTGCATTGGGAGTTGTCAAGGATGCGATTCCCTGAGGACTTAGAGAATATTCCTGTACCAGTTTATAAACCACGTAAAAATGCTTCACAATTTTTGTTGGTTGGGGAGGCCAAAAATAGAGAAAAAAATAGAGAAAAAAATAGAGTACGAACTAGAATATTTCCGTAATTCAATTTTAAATCTCTGTTGGATTATCAATGAAAAAATGTCTATTAAAGTTCTATACAATCAATCTTTCTATTCTTTGGTGCTATACATCCTTAAATCCTTTAATAAGCTTAACAATTTATGTCATATTCATTAAATGAGTGCCAACATTTCATTGGCTGACATTGAAAAGCTTTCTCATTGTATTAGTTCGTTCAATGAAGTACAAGTTATCACATGACTGAAACTGATATAATTTAGAATCAAACCTCTGATATAGATATTGGCAGTTGACGCCATTTCTGCTGAAATGTGCCAGGATCCAGTACAGCTTTTGGGTTTAGGTTTAATGAAGGAGGTGAAGGCGTGGCTGCAGTCCCAACTGCAAAATCTAAACCAAGCAGATCATCAATCGCCAAGCTAGAAGCTGGTGCTTGACCCGATAAGCCAGTACTTGGAAATGCCAAATCTGCAAGTGGTTGTGAAGTTGTAGAAGGCGCAGATGAACCATTATAGGAAGGAGCATTGTAGGCAGAACCATTGCTACCAGGTTCTCTTCCTTCATCTTTTTCTGAAGTACTTAGAAGCAGATCTTTGTCATTTGCTTCCACTCTCTGAGCTGGAACAACAGACTCTACAGATTCTGCAGTAATAGATAGATTTCCAATTTCATCTGCAAACTCAATTGTCCCTCGATGTTCCTTATCAGTGAACATATAAGAAGGCTGCATGAATTTGCTACTGTTAGTTTGACAAATTTAAAAATACATAAGGATCACACTAATGCAAACATGTTTCAACTTTCAAGTAATGTTAATATTAGCTAGGTGTTTAATTAACCTATCACAGAAGAAGGTGCAATCTTCAACGTGTTGTGGAACAGAGTTTGACCGCACAATATTTTCTATTTTTAAAATGTAAAAATAAATTCTAATTGAAATAACTATTGCAGCATATTATTTAGAATATCTCAGGCGATAAATTAAGAAGACAGACACATTTTACAGGGAAGAATTCAAGAAACAAAAAGCACACTTTAAATGGTAACATGAATTATTTTTACTTTCTCCCCATTTTTTATCTTTAAATTTGTTTAACATAGCAACATAGTTTATTAAATTTAGAATGGAGTCAAGTATCTAAAATTAGTCCAAACTCGACAAATTATTTCATTAAAACCTCTGGGAAAACAATTGTTTGGCTACCTTTTGATATACAACAGACAGACTGTTAAATTCATCAAATATGCGGTCTTTGATTTCACTGCTCTGGGTATCAGCAAATACTGAAACTGCTTGCTTTGGCGGGTTAACCACACTCTCTGCCACGGATACATTGTATTGCAGAAGCCTGTAATAAAATAAGGCCCTGTCATGAACATCCTGCAATCCACAAAAGGTTCGGTTAATATACCACTGCAATCGAATCAATTATTGTTTTGACAACTCAGTAGAATCCACCAACAAAATTTCAAACCTGGTGAAAATCAGCAAGTCCAGCAGCCAATGCAGCACCTAATGCTTTTTTAGTTTCAGGTGGTCGCTTAAAGAAACACTTCATAACTGCAGTAAGAAGATGTAGGCGAACCTGCATCATCAGATGAGACAGCAGTTGTTTAAAATACAATTAAGTAAACAAAAATACAAGCTAATACTCCATTCATGGCAATACTCACAAGACATAATGCTAAATAACTTCTTACCTTTCTCTGGTAAACTATGGTTTTGTGATTCCGTATTGCCAGGGAGGGATATCATGTTTTTATCATTGTTACAAAGATGATTATATGACAATCAAATTAGGAACTCCCTTAATCCAAACCCAACTATAGTTACTGATTTGTACTATATTGTNTCTTTATGCTTTGATTTATTGGTATAACAAAACATGATTTATTCGAATTACTTTAAACTTGTGGAAAATGGATACTAGAAACTGATGACATAATTTAATATTTCTGATAAGGTATTTGATCATGTTTCTCCTTGTTTAACTTCGGAATTTGATGCGCCCTATTCAATTCCAGCTATAGCACCACGTCCATTGCTTATTATCAATGGTAAGACATTTTTAATTTTCATATATAAAGCAGGCATCCATCCCTATTTAATTATTTTTTGAATATTTGTAACTGAAACATTTGGTTGGGTTTTGGGAAATGTAGGTGCGGAAGATCCACAGTGTCCCGTTGCAGGCTTGGAAGTTACAAGGTCAAAGGCTATTCAGGCATACCAAGCTTTTCAGTGTGTAGATAATTTTAAGGTATTTGTTGGTCACTTTGGTAAGAAAAATATTCATTATAACAGTGACTTCCTTCATCAGAATGATTGGTAGCTTTTACATGCAGTTTATTGCAGAAGCTGGAGTTGGACACCAATTAACCAGATTGCAAGTGAAGGAATCATCTGATTGGTTTGATAGGTTTTTGAAGCCTTAGTTGACGTGTTCGCATATTGGAAACGAAGTTTTAGCTTTTTAAAGAAGCCTTAGCTAGTGTCCTCATATGTCTTCATAAATTATACATTAGCTTCCTATGCTTCACTAATTGCTTCATTCCATTGTCTCTTTTAGATTATTGGGTATACACATTGAAAACGAACACTTGTGTAATCTCTAAATGTAGGACGTCTATCTATGTAAGATGTTATCAAAGTTATATAATAATAAAATAATGTCTTTTAAATTTAACACTTTATTGATATTTAATGTACGAGTGTTGTATGTATGTTAATGTTTAATATGTATTGAACACATAGATACACCATATAAGAAGTGTATTAAAAAACTTTACGGCAAATCAAAATATTTTTTTCTAATAGAATATTTATTCTAGTTCAACGTAAAATATTGAGTTAATTTTATTTTTTATTTTTTGAATTTTGATGTAAAATTCAAATTCGTCTATATTTGAAAATTTAGTATATGTTAACTTTTAAACTTAAAAAATAATGAATAATTTTTTTTATATGTCAAACGTATTTTATATGTCTCTTAATGATTCCGGATAAATTAGATAAACAAGAATTGTTATGGTTTCAATTAATGTATAAGTAACGTATACGGAATAAAGGTTTTGTGTTTGAAGATAAAATGATAAAATATATTAAATTTGAGAAATGATAATAATAATTAAAATTATATGTAATATAAACAAATAGAAAGTACAACATAGAATATAATTAGTTAAAAATTGAAATCCTTAAAATGTTGACCTATTTTATTTTAGTATAGTATATCTTAGTACTTTATTTATTTTGTTATTTATTAGTTTATATTACTAAATTTAATATTATATGTAAAATATTAATGAAAATGGTTAAATTTTTAGTGTACGATATCAATTTATAATATTATTTTTTATCTTAATTATATTAGTTAATATAATTTATTTAGACGTTAAACTAGTTATAATTGTTTTTACTGGTCAAGTATGCAATTGTAAGATAATTTAGCTCTTCACTTTATTCTCTACAATTTGTCTGTGGTTGTTTTAGTCAGTTTAATAATACAAGTCTCTTATTTATTACCATAATTAATTCAAATAACTTTATAAATGAGTTCCAAACATAAAAATAATAGTTGGACTACTATTTCAGTGATTGTGAACTAAAATTAGACTCGAAGAATAATGGTTATTAAGATTTAGGAGAACTAATTTTTGTACAAAAAATATTGTTTTTATTCAAATTAACATTACGGCTTTGGATGTGATAAGTTGAAACCTCCAAATTTTATACAATCATCCGCAACCATGTTTGTTAATTTTTATTCAATGATTTACTTTCTATTTTAATTTAATATTTTATTATTATTTGAAGACGTTAAATGGATATAATACAGAATTCGGGTTGTCAAAATATTTTTCCTATTTAGTTAAGAACTTTATTAATATAGATGTAGTTCTAACTTAATTTTAAAAAAACTTACTTACATGGTGAAATTTGCATTGTTTTTTTCTCTTAGATCATATATTTTTGGATAATACGATTAAGAAATCATATTTTGAATACACCTTGTTAAAATATGTCAACTACAAGTTTCTTCTTATATCATCTCCGACTTTCCAAATTGTAAAAAACACTTTTTGGAAAGCTTATATTCTCAAATGAATGAAAGACGGTTGATACTAAGAATGTGGGTATGAGAACTCAGTTAGTTGGAGATTCTATTTGGGTATGTTTGGAAATATGTTTTGAAAGGACAGAATGAGAAATGTTTTAGTTTTGTAGCAATGGCTGATAGTTAATAATTCACTTAGACATTTTTCATTGTTCGAATTAAGTACTCACGAATTTATTTTTTTATATCACTTTAATAAATTAATAAAAATATTTTATATGCATATAAACTTAGGTTCATATTTTGTTTTATTTAATGTGAAATTTTATTTGTATCCTAATACGAAGATTCACACCAATTAACAAGATTACAACTGAAGGAATCATCTGATTATTGGTTTGATAGGTTTTTAAAGCCTTAGCTAGTGGCATCAGATGTGTTCATAAATTATAAATTAGCTTGCTATGGCTCATTGTCTCATTCAATTCTCTTTTTGTGATTGTATCTGCCATGATATGAACAAACCAAAATGTTTTTTCCATATCAAATCTATCTTCCTAGTTCAAGATAATTCTAATAGCCATAAAACGTTACAGTACCTACATTAGATATATCTCCAAAGAGAAATGGTTCTTATTTGTTCTACATACTCCATTTTGTTAGAAAAAACTATCTCTGCTTGTGATTCACAGTAAATGTTGAATCAGACTGATTATGGTTTCAACCAATTTTCTAAGATTGGTACTTTTAATTTTAAATTTGTTCTAAGTGTCATTTTTCTTAATCACTGTCCCTCTTTAAAATGGAAATTGGAGAATACTCATTAAAATACAATTTAAATTAAGATAATTAGATTTTTTAGAGACTTAAATAAGTAATTTTTTTATGTGATATAAATAAGGTAATTTTGTATATATTATTTTTACTTTTATAGCCAATAGTTTAATTTAATATTGTACTTTTATTAAAAAAACATATTTTACTTAAAACTTATAAATTATTTTTATATCTTAATTTTCATATCAAAATATTAAATCGTTATGAAATGAGTTTTTATCTATAAGGAATAATTTTTTTATGTCTAAAGATAAAAATGATAAAATATACTAGTTTTTATAAATAATAATTATAATAAATTTAAACTCTCTGTAATATAAAAAGTAACCATTATTCTTTCTTGTCTATTCTTAAACTCATAATCCAATCAAGTTTAATCAAATGTATTTCCTAATTTTAATATGAAATTATTTTATCTTAATCGTCCTTTTTCATTTCCTATCACATTCAATAAACGAAGTTATTTCCTCTTTTTGCATGAATATAAAACCTGTAACCATGAAACTGGAAGAATAAAACCATAAATGACCATATAAACCTATTCAATTAAGTAAATATTATTAGTTACTAGCATTATGTTTTTTAATACATCCACTCTGTTACTTAAAAAAAATCACAAAAAAGGGTAAAGCAATAAGAAAAACCGCTTTTATTAAAAGAGTATTTCAAAGCCTCTACTGGTACCAATTAAAAGTGATTCCGTTGATTCAGTATAATCCAGGCGCTTTTAAAACGCTTTGGACTCAAATTTTTGCAATTGCAAGCTCGTCAGCATAGTTGAGAATCAAACTATGGAATGCAAGTTCAAAATGAGGCTATTTAAAACTAAAGTATTTAAGGTATTATTGGAATATATTTGAGATCAATTCCAGCATGAATCCAGATATACGGAGTAACGGATACAATCTGTACAAGTCACTACTACTACTACTTTAACACACATCATCAACACAATCAATATCGTGTCTTAAAATGTATACATTTCAAACAAATGAATATTATACCAAAGAACTGATGTATCTATTGTTAACTTGTTAAACAAGTCATACAAAATCATTCAGCCTTTCTTTGGCATTGCTGCAAGTCTTGTGTACATTCTTGCCATGGATTGGTAGCCTCTAACATCGCCTGAACGCAGAAGATTGCCTGTAACAATAAACAAAATAAGTGGCAGAAAAAAATATCTCCTTTCATCCTGGTCAACATTATTACAAGTTTTTCATCCTCACCTTTGTTAACGTATTAGATGGAAAAAAAAAACATCAGGGCATAGTTTTGGACTGAGCTGACACCTTAAGGATTTGAAGTTCTTTAGTTTTCCATCAATATCTCAATAAATCCTTGAATTTCCCAACAAATACCAAAGTGCTCTTGTAGATAGTTTTTAATCAACAACAAAAGTCAAGTGATATACATGTGAATTCATACATCACGAGCAATTAAAGACAACAAATGAAACATCAGATTCTAGTGCACCAACTTCCCATCCATTCTCTCAAGCACAATTGAATGTGCTTTCGCATTTTTTCAACCCTCAAATATAATTTAATTAGATCCCATGATCAAGGCCAAGTACACTACAACAGAGTATCAAATGAATTCGAGTTTCTTTCTTGCAGTTTTTCTAGTCAGTTGGGGGAAAGAGATAGGACAAAAAAACTCTTGATCCACACAAGAGACAAATGAGAAAACAATAGAGAGGAGAAAGTTTGTCAACCTGAATCACAATTCAGTGGGCTGTCAGGTTCTGGATGGGCCATCAAAGCAATTATAGCCCTACAGACAGATTGAAGGGTCCAAGCTGGGCTCCAAGCATTTTTCAAGATATCCAGACAAATCTCCCCAGTCTGAAAAATTACTAGATGTTAAACCAATTTTCATGGAGA